CCAAACTGCTGTTATTTTTAACTTCAAAGAAGCACCCTAGGGTACCTGTCCTAAAAAAAAAAAAAAAAAGGCCAGAAATATTGCTTCGAAAAAAACCAACCCAAAACAAATAAACAAAAAAATCAAACCTACCATCATCCTATATAAATGAGAAGCAACTTGTAGAATCAGTCTGCCTGAATTCCCCCCCCCATCTTTCACTATTTAGCCTTATCAACCACCCAAAGGAGGGGAAATGGCTTTCCCTCTTGCTGTTCACATGCAAAAAATCATCTAGCTCTCTCATAATTCTTCATTTATTGCATAAAATGAACTACTCCACAGGACCAGGTTCTTTAGTACATGTTTATTTTCCAGTCTGAGCTTAAAAAAAAAAAAAAAAAATGCCATCACATGGAGCTGTGCAATGAGCCACATCACAAAGCCAATACTCCAAGGACCACAGAGGCTTTCCTGTTCTGTGCTACAGGAAGGTCAGGGAAATAAATGGGAGGCAGAGGAGAGGGAAGAGAACCCATTACACAGAAGCAAAGCAGGTGTGTGGCATTCCAATTTTGACAGAAAAAGAGTACTTCTAAGCTGCAAAGAAATAAGTTTTAAAATAAACCCTCAAAGGCGGGAAGGTCTGAAACAAGTAAATCAGCACTATTATAGCCACTGAAACAAAAATCAGTCATACTGCTGAATAAATCAAGCCACCTAAGGAAAGATTCTATTTGAATCACCTGAATATTGTTAAAAGTGAATTTGTTTTCACTTGGCCAGACCAAGTAAAGCTAACAGCATAGGTTTACACGGGGGTCTGTAGCTTCTGTCCCTGCTGTGGCTTTGCAGAGAGTTGAAATGCATCACAGAGTCTCCTGCCAAATCAAGGGAGAAAGAGGAGGCCTACAAACACTGCTCCACCTCATCTGACTATTTCTCTTGCAGTATTTACTCGTTTCTACTTCTGTGAGCTTCCATATGATAAAAATGTATCTTTAGCACACAGTTTCTGCAGGTCAGAGCTAGCTGGTGTCACAGCCATATATAATGCACACATAAACCTCTGATGTGCCCAGCTTGGGTAATCCTAAACAGCGCCCCAGGAATCAGTCCAGAGGCAAAAGATTTTGCAGGCCTGTTGTACAAGCACAGCCTTTAACTGAAAACCTGACTGTTTTTGTTCATGTGCTTGGAGGGCTTCCTACTACACAACAGGGACCAGACTTTTCTGATATAGCCTCTGGTAATTACAATACCCTCCTTCAAGTTAAAATAAGCTTCCATGAGCCACAAAGAAAAGTCCAAACTGTCCCTTTGGCATGTAATAACAGGATCAATTCCTGACTTGAGTGTGAAAGGGGCAGCATTTTTCATGCTGACCACGCTCTACTGGCAGGTAGAGAGTCCCTTTTCTGAGCTCCATGGCCATTAGAACCCCACACAGACTTTGCTCATGTTTTAACAGATATAACTGCAGGTTTAAGAGCCAACTACAGAACTGCTGCAAGCTGCTGAACCTACACGGGGCAGCCAGGAAGCCACATTACTGCAATTTATCCTTCACAGCAAAGTAGCAGAAATAAGAAAGCACTTTCTTCTGCTCAACAGCTGGTTTTTCACACGAGGAGACATTGTTTCAAAACCTTGCTTGGCCACAGTATATTTAAGTCATCTCATTTCTATTCATCTCTCAATACTCCATACAAAGGAAGAGAGGGATTTTTCTTACCTTCTATGTGCACGGGAGAAATGAAGGCCAGCCAGGCTGCAAGGATGATGCCCACCACCCAAACCTGTACCAAGAAACTACCCAGATAGACAAAGCTCTTTACAGGACACCCTTGACTCAAGTGCTCCTCTCCCTTCCCATAAAATCCATTACTCACAAGATGAGCTGGTGCGCACTGTTTAGCAGCGGATCAAGGTCTGAGCTTGTGGGACTTAAACAGCTGCAGTGCTTCATTTGAGATGACAGGCAGGAAACGGGTCTACCTCCAAGCACAGTCTGTTTCCAAACTGGAGGGTCAGTCTCCTTCCTATACAATGCTGCTTTTATTTCCCAAGTTAGATCACGTTTTCCCATTATGTTCAGCAAAAATGATGTGAACAACAGGCAAAGCACAGGTAATTGGACCTCCCTGGAGCATGCAATGTCTTGAAGCTTTAATACACAAAAATTAGCATGGCACACAGCTACAAAAATGTTTAGACTATGACACTTACAAAAGATCTGACAAAATCAAGTTCATTTGGCTTGCCTAGACCTCTTATCCCCATTGTTTTGGTGGAGTTTTCTGTAGGGTTTTGCTTGCTTGTTTTAAATATGGAAATCTTTTTTTTGAAAACCTACCAGCTTGAGCCTTTGTGATACACAGATAACTTCTCCCAAGCCCTCCCATACAATGACAAAGACTAAACACTTGCCTTCTTTAACAGCAGCTGTGCTTCTGGTATCATCTCCTACTTCTATCAGATGTGGTTCTAGAAAACATACTAAGTTCCATTAAGATTCATAATAAATATCAAGTGGAGAAGCAGCAATACTGGAAGACTCGAAGGCTGCTTCAAAAGCACCTTCATATACCAAGGTATCTTCAGCTGGACCTATACTACCACTGAAATTGCTACCAACTACTTGGAATTAGATTGGATTAGACTCTAAGGATACTGCTCTTAGCAATAATAAAACAGAATGCATCAAAAAGCTTACTTCAGCCCATGGTTTGTATCTACACTTTGTGGTGTTGCAAAGTGTGACACATCATGACATTTCTGCTCCTTTACTTGATGGGGAACTGTGCAGGCAGATACATGGACCTTGAAAATTTTCCCCAGGAGGAAATCCTCAGATAACAAATTTATATGAGGATGCCTCAAAAAACATGAGAATGCCTATCTCTGACCTCAGTTAAAGCTCTCTCCTTGTCCAAATTCAATCCTGAAGCGAGAGCTAATTAAAATATTTATATTAGGTAGATATTTTAAAAAAAATTAAGCCAAGCGTGTATAACTGCAGCACAGCTGACTGCAGAGCAGATATGGCAGTTAGAGAAGCAAGTCTGGGAAAATCTTTTTTAGCGCTTGTAAAATACTTCAAATACATTATGAAAAAAAAGAGACAAGTGGACTAACCTACTAAATTTTTATGATGTCCCATGAAAACAAAGAAGATTCAGAAGGGATTTCTAGAAATTTGAAAACCAACTGCCTAATTCAGTTTTAAATAAAAAGCAGAAGTTAATCAAGGAAAAAAAATTCTCCCTATTGAGTCGGTAACTTCGAATTTGGCATTCATGAGTGTACTTCCAGGTGGTCTTTGGAAATTGAGCTTGTAAACACACAAAGTTTTCCATAAATGAAAAGATACAACTGAGGCTTATGCATAGGACAGTTAGCTTTTCATTTACTCATCTACACATACAGACTCAGAAGTATTCTGAATTCCTCAGGTTTAGCTATTTGTCTACTGATATTCCTGTAAGGGCATTGGGATATACAGCAACTGTTCTTTATACCACAGGAAAAATATTAAGAGACGTGCAAAAAGTAAAAACATCATGCATTAAGAAATGGACATCGGGATCTTTATGGTGTGCCATGGCACTAAAATATTGCTCTGCCAGCATATCTGCCACTGGTTATTTTGATGCCCAAGGGGAGCAACTTTTGTTCTCAGTTTTAAATCAATAGATAAAAAAAGTTATAGACTAACTGCAACAGGATTAGATCTTGAATTGAGCTGAAAATAAAATCAGCTTCCTGTGTAGCTTTTACATTCCTGCTGTAATCGGTGTCTGTAAACATGCAGCTTGTCTGAGTGAGGCTGCCACTTCCACAACCTTTCATTCACACAGAATATAAGGAAAACCAGGTTTTAATTTACAGTGCTATATATATATGCAGAGTTGGCTGAATTTTACATACACAATCCCACCATTTTTATGACAATGTAACTGGAGTCCAAGACAATTCTGCAGCCTGTTTCAGGTGACTAAAACTCTGGAATAACACATTCCTGAGAGCTGTTCTATTGGAGGGCTCAGTTGTGCAGCATTTCTGACTTAGGATGCTTTCTCACCTCACACAGTGATCATGGCTTTCAGGAACTGGCAGGAATACCCAGCCAGTGGTACCCAGGTGCAGAAGTCAACCTTTCAAGAGTACCAAAGCTGTGTTACAGTACAGCATCAAGGATGCCCCAAATCAGAGACTAAAACTCACAGCAAAGACTACTCACATGATGCAGTCAGGTCAAGTAGACACACTGAAGGGTATTAATGCACCTGAACTCCAGCACGTATTTAAGGTATCAAATTAGGAGGCCGAGTTCTTTCAGTTACAAAATCACAGAATGGGTAAGGTTGGAAGGGATCACAGTGGATCATCTGGTCCTACGACCCTGCTCAAGCAAGATCATCCTAGAGCACATGGCACAGAATTGCATTCAGACAGTTCCTGAATATCCCCAGGGAGGGAGACTTCACAACATCTCTGGGCAATCTGTTCCAGTGCAAGGGACAGAGATTCTTCAAGGTGCTTAAAACTCAACTCCTGTTCCAGTGTTATCAGCTCCCGGAGCTTTCTCATGATTCTGAGACGTAATTGTGAACAGCCTTGTTCATTTAATACAGCAGTGTTCCAGACCCTGTGTTTCAGAAGAAAACCTCCAGAAATTGTGTTCCACATTTACCCCAAAGGCTCAAGAGAAGGAGCAAGAATTTATAATTTAAAAGAAATTTAAATAACCTCACGGATTTTCTTGGGGAGGGGAGAAGTGAGGTTGTTGACTCATGATCCTTTTTTTAATACTTGTGGCTGGTTCTGCTACATAAATAAATCAATCCCCTAGCCACACAGCTCCATTTTTCCAGTCACAGCTTGTTGTTTTACTTATTTTTTTCCCTCCATTGCCGACAGATCACTCCAGGGAGTTTCTAAACCCAGTAGTCTACTTTCCGAATGGAAACTATTAGTATAATTTGTGAGAGAGAAAGCAAACAACAACACAGACTTACCCCATTTTTTGGGTATGCTATCCATCCTAGATCCCCCATTACTGTACGTGAGTCCAGTAAATTCACTGAAAATAAGAGAAAAAAAACTGTTAAGGAAGATGGACAGATTACAAACTCCAGTAGATATTTCATGGTATGGGTGACTGTGGCTAACAGATTGTTTATAATTAACCAAGGAAACTGGATTTTTGTAAAGCAGAATAACAATAACTCCTCTAACAATGAGGTCATACACCGAAGACAATTCTATGCATGCACTAGTTTATTCCTTTGAGATCTGCCACTGAAACCAAGTTGCAAATCCACTGAACTTCTGTAAAAACTAGATCCTTTACATTCTTAGGATCTGATCTCTTGGAGGGAATAAATACATAATACACACAATGTGTTTATGTGCATATATCAGACATACAGTATATAGGCATAAATATATGCTCACAAACATCTTTGCATATTTATATGTACATTTCTTCTAAGGTGGCATGTGTTTTTACCATAATCAGGCCTTTAGGACAAAAACAAAACCAGAAACAACATGCAGAGTTCCCTGATTATCATGAATTAATTTTTAAAGTATTTTATATTCAAGTATTAGAGTATTAATCTTATCAAGAATCTATTCTCTTCTCCCTCTTCCATATTTTTCCCTCCAGTCTTTGACATCCTCATTATAAGATATCCAAAGGATCTTTTTTTTCTCACACACAAAAATTCATAGTAGCTTTGTTGAGTCACATAAGCAATCAACAATTTGCACTAAACAGCAAAAAAACCCCTATTCCCAAGCTTATAACATTTTCCCCCTCATATTACCTGAAATACTGAGTAAGAAGTGTGAAGTAACTAAATCTACACACGCTTAACTCAGCTAAGAAAAACCGTAGCAGCCTCTGGTGCTGAGCTTCCACCTCCTGTACCCAGGGCTTTAAATCTACAAGTTAAAAGCTTGTCTTTGAATCATCAACGTCATGCAAAATCTCAACCTAGGAGCAACTTTCTTCTACCTTAAAAGCACACTTCCTCCTCATTGGATTACAACACTCTCTTCTATGAGTATAGTTTTCTACCTAATACTTCACATTTTGTACTCACATCCTTCCTGAAAAGGATCTGATTTCCCTAGGTCTTCAACTCCTGACCTCCACCCTATGTGCTCCTTAAAAGTGCCACTGGAAGTTTTGGTAATTGAACTTTCAAGACTTTCTAGCCTGTGATTACGTAGACCAAGAACAAGCTTGAAATGGGTGGAGGAGGCTTTGTGCTCACTCTTTTAGAAATGCAACCGTGTAAGTATTAAAGATTGCTGAAGAAGAGAAACAAACAGGTTGCATGCACAAGTATGAAGTATGCAAGTATCATAACCCTCAGGATTATACCATTTATAGAGTCATAGTAAGAAAACCCAAAAGTACACTATACTACAAAGCATACTCCTTTAAAATCTCAAGGAATACTTAAAAACAAATTAAGATTAAACAACTGATTTATTTTGAAAAAAATAAAGTTCTCCAAATCAGTTTGGTCTTTATCATTGTACTGCACTGAAGGCTGACTACTGTAGTCCCTGGTACACAAAACCAGACCAAAACACAAAAATACAACACTGAGGCGGAAATAAAAACCAGTTCTCAGCTCTGGCAAATACTTGTCTTAAAAAAGATTTGTCTATCCAGATATTTTCACAATGTATGCAAGTATTAATGCAGGACACTGTCACAGGGGACATATGTTCTGCCTGGTCAGCTATATTTTCCTGATGTTGAACAAAATACATTTGGTAACTCAGGGTTTTCATTCCTAGATTCCCTTTTCCTGCCAAAAGAGAGAACAGTTTGCAAGCTGTCAGTGCTACCAAACTACAGCACATGTGGTGGAAGCAATACTCAGAGACTACACTGAACTATATTCACAGTAAGTAAACATACAATTAGGTGGCTTTCCACTCAACAGCAGTACAAAATAAATGTATTGCTAACATCTACCACCAGATATGTCACCCAGTGACGACCACTCTTTCCCCTCCTGAAGTCTTCAGGTAAAATGGTTGTTAATTTCTCCTGCTCCAGCTGAAGTCAAGCACTAGTATCCAAGTGCTCCTGAACTACACTTCGTTTCTTTTCAATGGGATACAAAGAGTGACCTTAAAATATTCTTCAAAATAAGACACACAAAAGTAACATGTCCCATATTATAAACATATACTGTTTTAAAATGTAAGAGACAGGAGTGCAATGGCAAAAATGGCGGGTTTACTCAAATTCCTTCTATTACAATCACTGTAATTAAACTGTGCAGAACAGTATATTCTTGTTGTTAGGTTGCAATGGATGCAAAACAAGTATTGATCTACATTGTACAACTTAATTAAAATTTGTCCTGGAGATGCTACTAATGAATGTAATTAGATGCTGTGTTTGATGTCACAAGCTTCTTCATGACATGCTAATTAAGGAAAAAAGCAGAAAAACTGCTTTATTCGAATATCAGATCATAAAAAGAACATGATACAACTAAATATTGTATTATCTTTCTATCAATGACAATTTTTAAATTGCTGTTATTAACTTCAATTTCAAAATAATTTTCTGCATATGAAAAGATAATACAACCCATTCAACGCTAAGTCAAGTCAGTGGGAATTTTCCAACCAGTGAGTCAGCTAGCAGAGTTGAATACTAAATCCCCAGTTAGAAAAGACTCACTTCCTCTCTTATTTTAGAAGCATTCTGCGTAGAGTAAAATAAATAGGATGGAATACACCTTTTGAAAGGCACCATGCAATAACTCAAAACTCACATGCCAGGAAGACAAAAGTGACAAGTGACTTTAAGCTGTCACTGTACCTGGGGTTCTCTGGAGATCAGAGGGGCACCCAGCTCATCTCAGACAACTCTGAGGGGCTGCTAAGGCACAGCAGACACTGACTGCCACGTGAGCATCTGTCTGGGACTGCTTTCACAGCATATCAGCTAAAACACTGCACTTTGTCAGTCTCCTCTGATGAACATATTTAGGTAGTATTCTAAATTGCCTGCAAGGACAGAAATTTTTTGCTTTGAAGAGCCCCAAAATTCTAGTATAAACACATATTATCATTTGCTCCATCTGGATACAAGGTGTCTGCGTCTCCCCCATCAGCATCCTACTCAGTCATTTCCAGTGCATCTGAGCTTTACTTCCATCATTTCCATGTCACAACCCCACCCTGATGCAGCCCTGAACCAGGCCAGGGCCCAGAATCCCCTCTCCAAGAGGATGGCTCCTCCAACAGCCCAGCTGCAAGAGTTCCTCATTGAGATCATGCTACCAACACTTTGGGAATGCTTCCTCAGGCAGTTTTCCCTTCCTGCACTGCCAGAGAGGTCACCATCACAGTCCTGCTACACAAGCCCATACAGGCTGAGCACCATCTCTCTTCCCATCACATTCCAGCTTGGCTGGAACATTATTTTTGCTGAAATAGCTTTCATCAAAACGCTGCAGATTGGCCAGGCTGGGAAAGAAACAGTGGGAAAGTAGCAGGTAAAGAAGCTACCTGGAATAGAGGAAAACATTTTAACAGAGATTTTATGGAAGGACTGTCACCATTCCAAACAGATGCTTCTAAACTCACCATGTGGCTACCAGGGAAGGGATGAAGCCTTTCTGCACCTGAATGAAAACCCCTGAAATTGTGTTTCATTTGACCCACACCAAGACTCAGAAAGAGACCAGAGATCTTCTACAGAGCAGCAAAACCAGTTCCTCCCCATTCAACCTGTGATGACTGTTAGCATGTATTTGGCTGGGGCTGTCTAATAACCAAATAATGCAAACATCCAGGATATTGCAGGAGGTAATTCAGGAACATGTCCAACGATGTGCGTAAGGATTCCATATTTCAAAAGGTCTAGTGCCAGCTCCTGTACAGCTTGGGACTCCTGGACTACCCCCAACACTTCCTACTCCACAGGCATAACCCAGAGCTGTATTCAGGAGCACCTGGGATACAGGAGAGCTTACCTTGTTGAAAAAAAAATAATCTCTTCAGAAATCGCTAGCAACTCTGCTTAGCCCATGATCTTAAAAGCCTCCAAAATAACAAAACTCATTTATTCCCACTTCCTTTTCTCCTCAACACCAGCTAGCTATATATCAACAAAGAAGCAAGAAACCTCAGACCCCATAAGCATACACTTAGCACCTGTATCTTTGCCAGCAGACTTGGAAGAGGCATATACATTCAAAAATATTTTTTGCTCATCTCCACCATCAGTGCATCCATCCCACAAGCCCTAATTATTTCTAATGCTCAGTCAAGGGGAACACAAAACCACACAGATCTATATCATCATTAACTTCCATGCCTTCAGGGTAGGATAAATGATGATTAAGTCTAAAGTCATACCACATCCCTTCTTTTTTCTATTTTTTTTCTTTTTTTTTAAATACAGAATAATAGCCTGGGGAGTTTGCATACACTCTTATTCTCAGACATGCTGGTTACTACAGGTGAGCAATCAAGATAGAATAAAACCAGAAGTGATCTAAACCTTTGCCTTGAACTCTAGCTGGTGAATTAACCGTGGCTTTTCACTCAGGAATCTTTATCAGGGAGCCTGGATTTGGGTTTTTACTCAAATGTCTTTGTCATGTTCATATAGCCAGCATTTAGCAGCTTCACCATGGCTACACAGGGACTGTGGCTGGAAGGAAGCACATGAAATACCACAGCTGATGGCATTCAGCATTCACCTAAAGCAACACTGCTGCCTGCACAGCAGAGCTCCCCATCTGACACAGCCACCTAAAACAGTGCCATGTAGCAGCATTAGCTTGCCCAGGATTTTTTTGATCACACCATTGAAGAGAGATGGCTCCTCTAGTTCTGGACTGGAGCAGGATCAACTGGAGCATCTTTTTTCTTCACTCCAATTTCAAATGGGAAGAAAAACCAAGCTAAAAACCAAAAATCCCCCACCAACAGGCTAGAACACTGAGTACTTCTGATCCTACCAGCCACACATCCTCCTGCTATTCCAGTATCTAAAGATCTTCCAGAAAAACCTTAACTGCTTACACCAGG